GCGCCATGGCCAGTTGGCCATGGCGCTCAGCCAGGGTGCACCACTCTCCACGTGGGCAGGTACAGAGGAGAAGCCGCCCGATCAGCTGGAGCGCAGGGCAGCCTCTTTCAGCTGAAAGCCACACCCAGCTGGCCGGGGTGTTTCAGCCCTCCCGGCCTCCCAGCTCCCACCATTCCTCGCAGCTACTCACCTGTATTGTTGCTCAGTGAGTAGCTGCTCCTCAAATGAGGAAATCAAATTTAAATGTACTGCGCAGGCACGCAGTTCAGAGAGGGCTCAAGAACGACTCTTAGAGCCCCTGAGATCGACTGGTAGATCGCGATCTACCGGTTGGTGACCACAGTTCTACTTAATACATTTAAAATGCTTTTCAAATTGAATGTTAATTTCCACCTAAATAAAGCTTAACACAAATAAGTAAAAAAAACTGAATAAATAAGAAAAAACATCAATCAACCATTTTCTAACTTCATAATCTGTAAGAATTAAGAATCTCAATACATGCAAGTTAAGCTATAGAACTGCAAGCATAAATGTGTACAGATACAGTGTATCTACCTGGTTCAGAAAAAGAAGCACCAATTTTAATGTAAAGGTTATATAGTTGCAAATAATAGTTACCAACCATGAAGAATCAGCCTTTAGGAAAATAACTAAAAAGTATGAATGCAAAACAAGATTACAATTTATTATTTTAAGCAAGGTTTTCTGGTTTCTGATTTAAAACATGATTAGAATCAGTAATTTAAACAGCCCATCCTGATTATCATAAAGAAGCCGGCTCCACATCTGCTCCAGTTTACAGAGCTGCAAAAGACACTAGCAACACTCCTTGCCAGACCATTATTCAATTATTTTTCAGTCACACTATCATTTACACTTTACAGAACACTGAAACAAAGTTTAATTAGAAAAATCTTGAAGATTTTTAAGAAAAACTGATAAAACTAATGGTTAATTGTGTTTGAATGGCTATTTTGCTTTAACCAAACTCTAAGAAAGCAGGAGTACTAAAAATCACAGAAGAGCTAAACCAAGCCAACAGCCACACTGCAGAGTTCTAATACCAAATACTAGCTGTTTGCTGCTGTTGCACATATAAAAGAATACTAATGATTTATTGAGTCTCAATTCCTGCATATAAAATACCACAAAACATAGAGTAATGCGACTAAAGAAAATTAAGGAAGGTTTTAAGGCAAGACAAAGAAGAATTGGCTGGAAAGAGAAGGGAGTCAAAAGGGGGAAAAACAGCTTTTGTTAGATAGGATTGCTCTTCTACTGCCCTCACCTGCAGAGTCAGGAAAAAGGGACAGATAGTGCCAACTGGGAGGAGGGAGGGGGGGAGAGGAGGTGACTGGGGACACTTGCTCCAATAGGAATCTGAGATTGCAAATTCATTTAATTTATAGCTTGACTTCTATATAGCGCTACAATGGTGCAGTTGCTAGCATGTTAGTGAAGATGCTCCTTGATAGGTAGGGCCCGACCAAATTCACAGCCATGACAAACACATAACAGAACATGAAATCTAGTCTTTTATGTGCTTTAACCTATATTACACACATTTCACAGGGGAAACCAGTGTTTCTCAAATTGAGGGTCCTGACCCAAAAGAGAGTTGGGAGGCTCACAAGGTCATGGGGAGAGGGTTGCAGTATTGCCATCCTTACATCTGCACTGCTGGTGGCAGTGGCTCTGCCATCAGAGCTAGGCTTCTGGCCAGCAGCTGCCGCTCTCTGGCCACCCACCTCTGAAGGCAGTGCTGCCACAAACAGTAGCACAGAAGTAAGGGTAGCAGTGCTGTAACCCTCACATAGTAACCATTTAACACCCCCTCCCCCCCAAACAACTCCCTTTTGAGTCAGGACCCCTACAACTAAAACACTGTGGACTTTCAGATTTAAATAGCTGACATTGTGTAATTTTATTTTTTTAAACCCTATAACTGTGAAAATTTACATAATGGACCATAAATTTGGTAGGGCCCTACCAATAAGGAAGTTTCCCACCAGCATAGTTAATTCCACCTCTGAAACGGTAGCTATATCTGCAGGTGAAGCTCTCTCGTCAACACAGCGCTCTTCTACCGGGGGGAGGGGAGGGGGAAGTGAGAGGGGGGGAGTTAGGTTGGTATAACTACTCCCTCAGAAATTTGAATTTTTCACACACCCATGATTAACATAAATGTATATTATGCAGAGCTAGGGAATGAGGAGAGGTGCATTTCTCAATGACTTTGCATTTTCAATGACTTACTTTGTAATCAAAGTAAGGAAGTAAATACCAATATACACGGGATTCATGAGACTGTGGCCACAGAAACAACTCTTCCTACTTTAGCTCCAGTCTGTTTGATAGGCAGGAAAGTGCTTGGTCTAGGGGGCAATGTAACAGATCCATTGTAAGGATTACCTACTGCCCCAATTTTAGCAAAGATATCTTGCATCCTAAAAACAAGAGGCTTGCAAGATTTTAATGATCTTGAAACATTAATGCAATTAAATTCTTAGCTGGCAACATCCATGTTACAAAACTGCAAGTACTATAATACTAATTTATTCCCAATTACAAACTTTAAGAAGGTAGCAATTCTACACTTACGTGAGGTGGAGGGTGGTTTTTGTTTTGGGGGTTTTTTTTGTTGGTTTTTGGAAGTTCACTATTTAAGTTCCATTAAATTAAGAAAAGATTTCTGCCAGATTCCAACACACATGGAAGAGGTAAAATTATGAGTTGATGTTTGTGGTACTGAACTGTGAGGTGGGTGAAATCCAGCAACAATAGAAAAGGGCGATTATTAAGCTTTGCCCTTCACCTGCAAACAGAAGGAATTGCTAAAGGAATACAAAAATGAAATCACTAGCCTGAGGAGAACGGAGGAACAAATATCAAAGCAATCTCAGTTATATAACCTCTGCATTGTATAAACTGTCCCAACTTAGTCCACAGAAGTTGAGAGAGGACATATGGGGGGAACTGGAAGTCCTCCCCCCAACTCACCTGTGCTTGCTTTTATTTCCATTCCCAGGAGCACACTTCCCCCCTCACCCCCGTTCCGACTGCTCTGTGCTGAGACTGCCTTTCACCATCTTGTTCTGCAAGGAGGGAAGAGAGCAAGGAAGGAGGGGCTGATGAACCAAGCCAAAAGGAGGAGGAGCAGGGAGATATGAGAGAGAGAGAGAGAGAGAGAGAGCAAGCAAGAGACAGGGAAGGGGGAATGAGACAGAGAATGAAAGAGAGAAAGAAAAGTCAGTACACTGGAATGAGATAATACAGATTTTTAGGCAGGATTTTCCCCATGACAAGAGTTGTCATTAAGCAAGAATGGAGAGTTTTGTTTTACACTTAAAATACATATAATTTAACAAGAAAAAGGAAAAATCTCAATAAAACCTTTTAAAGGTGATTTCCAACAGACTTCTTAAACATCAAGCAGTTGCCCTTTTATGGTGTATACAAGAAGCCTGACATTCTCTCCTCCACCACTTTTATTCCGCCCTAAAAGCAAAGTTGAACGTGACCATCCCTGGCTCTGATGAAGCAACCACTGATAGCTCAGAGGATTTATAAAGTTAGATATCAAACCTCAATTAAAGAGATGGAATGTCTGGTGTTAATTAGCTACTAAACTTAAAATAGGCATTAACAAAAAGCAAAGAGCTTTGAACAGTGTAACTAAAAGTCCTTTTCTCTCTCAGTTCCTCAATTTCACCCTTCTGGCTCTCTTGCAAAGCCACAATTTTTTTTAACAGCGATTATCAAACATGTCCACCTCAAGACCCTTTTTCTTCATATCAGGATTACCCCACAACCATCACTAGCCACTTGGCCCCCCTCAGCATTTATAATATTGGAAGGATAAAGTGGTCATGATCCCAGGCTGAGAACCCACGTAATTTTTGCCAGGAGGATTTGGAGCAAACTAATGCTGATCAATGAAGCATTCAGCAAGAGCAGAGCCATATTCAAGCAAGGAAAACCCTTCCATTCTCTCGAGCTCAAACGAGTCACTCAAAATTTTACTATGACCAGACTTCAGCATGCAAGAGAGGCTGCAGATGATGAATGCCAATTTCTTCCATAAAATAGATTTGCACTGGGCTTACTGTTTGTAAGTGTCATACTTTTACAGCTCTATTAAGCACTCTACTGTTATCCTCAGTTCAGTTCACTGGTAGGATTTGAAGGAACGATATTCAAACCGCTGATACAATAGCCTGTATTCTAGTCAAAAGGCTGCTGTGTTTTAATGGTTTTCCTATGATAGTTTGGGACCATCATTGCAAATACTACAGGTTGAACCTCTCTAATCCAGAACTATCTTGTCTAGGAACATCCATCGTCTGGAATGATTTTAGGTAGCCGGATGTCCACTTAACATGGGTGTGGCCAAGTTTCCCGCGGTCCTATAAAGTTTGTTTATAGCCACCAGTCCTAGCTCTCAGTGTTCTGTGCCATTATTTAGCTCTAATTTACCCCTAAATGTCCTCTAATAGCCCCAAAAGCAGTGGAAGTGTTGGTAATGCTGCTAGACAATATTGACCTCCCACAGACCAGAAAAATCTCCCATTCAGAACCAGTCAAATCTCAAAATTTCCGGACTAGAAAGCTTCAATCTGTAATAAGCACTGCCAACCCAACCTATGTACAAGAACTGAATTCTGAAAAACTTTAAAAGTTTATTTTATTTTTAATTTTTTAACCCTATAAGAGCAAAAACAGGAAATCTTGTGTTATGGATTCTTCACAATCACACTAGAAAAAAGTGTCCGAAAAAAGATGACCAGTTTCATCCAGCTGTTGGGGACAGTTGATACTTTTGCTGTAGAGTGAGGCAGGCATTAATTAGTGCATTGGTTTATGCTTGGTTCTCCATTTTTGAGGTTCTCTCTGTAACTATAACGACTAGAACTATTTTTTTAAATAAAAGGATAAGAAAAAGTGAGGTTGTTCACTGCTTACAAGTTGAGAACCAAAGTTTTAGTGTCTTCCAGGCTAGACAGGATCTGAATTTTTAAACAAAGAACAAGCCCAGACTGTATTTTTTTTTAAAAGGGGGGGGGGGGGGGGACGTAAATACATAAAAATATCTTGTTATGGTAAAAACACATGTTCAATATACTTTTCCCCTTTATAAAGATTTTATCTTACAAAACAACCTTGTAAAAATACCAGAAGCCACCAGATGTCACTCTAATAATCCAAGACACAGCAGATGAGAGCTGCTGACAAGTACCTGAATTCTCAGAATCAGTCTTGCAGGTCCTAACAGAATCCTCCCTACCACACACACACTCCTCCAATCTAAATTACATGTTGTGCTGTTTATACTCTCACACATTTTAAATAGATTTCTATGAGCCACCAGTTACACAGACTGATGCTTCAGTCATTTGTATTGAGGATGTGAGAGAAGTAGAATCAGCTGAGCAACTGTAGTCAACCTGGTAACTGATGCTGAACTATGACAAACTGCTTCTATCTTTGGCAGGTTCTTGCTTCCAAGAGCAGATTAAAAGCTTTTCCATGGGATATTTTTCCTTCCTTCTTGCATCCCCTTGGTAAATCCTAGAAAGAATTTTCACCAAAAAGTTTGCAACATAGCACCCAAAAAGAAGCAGCATGTTGACTATACCATAAGAGATGGGAAATAAAGCTGGTTTCATAAAAATTATCTGAAGGTCTAGACAGCAAACCTTAAAGACAAATAGTAAGCTTCACAGATCTTCTTAAATAATCTGTATTCTTGTCCCCAAAAATGCATCCCCACAGAACCACTCACCCATAAGGCTTCATTTAAAAGTGTCTCTTCCTTCTAAAACATGTTATCTGGGTATACAATTACTTTAGTAAAACAAATGTAGATAAAGCCCAGCAGAGGGCATCACTGAATGCACCTAGCTGGTGAAGAAGTTTCTTACCTTGTGCTTGGGGCACCTCACTGAGAAATTCTCTTCGTTTAGTAAACAATCTAAAAGAGAAGACAAACAGCAATTTGATTCAGGTATACATTATATTCAGAGATCTTTTCTATAATTACTATTTGGGTTTTTGGGGGATACAGGGGTTTCAGGATATTTTATTAAATTTAGTTATCAAGAGACCTGAGTGATACTTGTCCTTTCAGCAATCAATATTCCAAGCCCAAATTTCCCCATACTCATTATTGTTGCATAAGGACTAAATGTCAGAGCAAACACACAAATCTCTCCTGGCTTTATGGGCTCAAACCCTTAAAATACAAAGACAGGAAAATCAGATACACTCATCTTATCTTGGTATATTATCCCTGCTTCTTGCTTCTGAGGAAAGTGTTTATTCCAAGTCCCTACAATATCAGGAGCAGAAAAAAGTTGGTGTTCATGTGTGTTGTGATTATTTCCAACCCCAAATCTAGTGATCGAATTTTATTCTTTGGCATCATGCTTGTAGCAGGGTCACGCCTACCGCTCTTACACCTGCTCTCACACTGTAAATGTGAAACTTCACTAATCTAAGAAACGGTGTTATTACTTCACATTTTTAGACATTAGAACAGATCAAGTTTGTTTCTAAGAGTGACATTATCATTGTTAAGAGATCAACAGCCCCTGGAACCGTAAGTACTGTGACTACAGAAGACGGCACACTAAAATCAACAAGGCAATGCACACTTTGGAGCTCCAGCCTTCTCCTTAGGGATTTCCTAGTGCCCCATATTTCCATTTTACAAAACAGCAGTGCACTCTCCTTAGGGGGTTCAGCTACATCTGCAGGTATCATAATCTATGCTGCTACCCCATTCCTGATCAAACTTTTGACACCACTTCCAAATACCTGGTGTTATTCAGCCAATATTTCAACAAGGCAGTTATGACTTCATGTCCTCAGATTGCCAGAAAATAGCATAATGATTCAAAAAAGTACTAATTTAAAGCGTTCTTAGGTATATAGCCTAACTACAGCTCCCTGCTATTCTAATCTGCTAGAAGAGTTTAACACACAAAA